CACACACACACACACACACACACACACACACACACACACACACACACAAAAGATCTGCATCTTCCAGGGGGATGACATTCTGGGTTGTCATATAGAAAGTTAATATGCAAGGAAGCCAAAAACTCTGAAGTCTGCTTTATAAGGGTTTCAATCCCAGTCAAGAAGAGGAGATCTCACAATGTCATGATCTTTCTAAAACTCTCAGGGCTGGGGAAATGCTCAGTGTATAAAATATTCTGTGCAAGCATGAAAACCTGGGTTCAGATCCCCAATATCCATGGAAAATAGCTAGGAGAGCTGGCACATATCTGTGACCTTACTAGGGCTGGGATGTGGAGACAGGTAGATTGTGGGGCCTCATTGGCCGGCCAGCAGAACTGCAAGGGCAGTTATCAAGCTCAGGGAGAGACCCTGTTTCAAAATTAAGATGGAGAGAGACAGAAGGCAATGTCCCCAAGCCAGCCTCAGACAGCCACATGTAATTATGCCTAAACACGCGCACATGCCATATAAATGAATGAATAAATGAATAAATGAATAAAGAAATAAATAAAAGAACCTCACCTCCTAACAACATCATGCTGACCATTAATTTTCTCTGCTTGAATTTAAGAGTGGACACGTTACATATACATATATATATATGTATATTTATACATTTACTTGACTACATACTTAATATTCTTTACATGTAATTGATATTTGACCTTTATGGATATGAACATATATTAGACCAGTGCTTGCCTGGTCCCTTTCAAACATTTATGACCTTTATTTGTCAGAATTGTGTATATTATATTATTTGATTTTTCTATTGGTTTTAAGAAACAGTGATTTGAACATTTAATGCCTAGATGATTTTCAAATCACACGGCTCTGCCTTTACTTAGTGTTTAAATGGGTGTTATCTCAACCACACTCCTTAAAAAGTCTTCTTTAAAGTCTTTTTGGAAGGTCAGAGTAATGCCTCTCATCAGGACTATCAGAAGGGTATCTTTCTGATGGCATCCCTTCTTTTCCCATATTCCAAAACACATCCTCAGGCAAGGCAGGGCCATTCACGTGCTGCTCCTGTAGGGAGTTGAGTTTTGGTATTGTACCATTAATTTCCATAGAAGACCTTTAAAAAAAAATAGCTGTTGACATTTAGTAGTGGTTACTGGGCAGGAAACAGAAAAAAAACACAGATGCTAAAATCACCTACCACTGCCGCAACCCAACTATGTCATTAAACCTCACATATTTTAGTTATTTTTTACAGAGTTGTTGCATTTTAAAGTATTTGGGGGCATATTCAAGTCTTTGGTTGTCTATGAAGTTTCTGACTAAATGTATATGTTGGCTCCATTCTGATAATAATTATGAACAAATGAATCCATAAAGCATATTGATTCAGTATTAACTGACAAGAGTAAATGCATCCTTTGTTTCCCAGAAAGCTCAAGAGTGAAAACGGAAAGCAGATTGGATTGTTTGGGGGGCCTAGATAAGTATCTGCTCGCTCAGGTCCTCAGAAGTCCTATCGTCATTTGGGTGTTTGGTGATGAACCATTTCTGCCTCTAACGGTGCAGAGTTTGTTTTCGCTTCTCTCTAGACAACATGTAAAGAGAGGGAGAAATAAGTTCATGTCAGGAGAAAATGAATTAAGCGTATATAATGTCACCATAATAATATCTTATTTATGCAGAGAGCCAATCGGTCAACTAGTACATGTGCAAAGATAGCTATATGCACGTATTTGTACCATTGCTTGTTTTTTTTTTTTTTTCCTTATTGGAATGGAATATTCTGCACGGAAAAATGTCTAATTTAGTTGATAAAGAGATGCTTGGTCTATAAGGTGGAGAATAATGGTATCCATTAGAAAATAACAAATGAGTTTAATTCACACTGAGGACGACCTGTCTGCACATTTTCATTTTTAAGAATTGCACCCTTTAGGCAATAGGTGGATGTTTAAAAAAAATGAATGGTCCCAAGCCAGGCTTTCATCACTGCCAAAACAGTTAGTAGAAGCAGAAAATGAAATATGGCTATTGCATATGGTAAATCTATACAATAAAGTGATTTTGATCTCCTTTCTGGCCTGCCTTCGTTCCAAACAGAAATGCCCTAAGCCCACTCATCTTTTAAATAAAGTTTCTTTTAACAACCCTTACCTCTTTTAATTACATCTTTCTAATTTAATCTGTCTCTTGGAGCAGAAAGTTCTTTGTAATTTATTGGTGTCTATGATAAATGAGGGGTGATAACAGAGCGTTATACACAATATTATTTTTTTTTTATGGTAGCCCCACAGGAATCAGGAAAAGTAAAAATAAAACAAGACTGGCTAAAGAGGAACAAAATTTTGGCTGATTTAGACACCATAAAACACAAGCTGCGACAGCTGAAAGGTCAGTATGGATGAAGCTGGTCACTGTGTTTAATTACACATATACCAACAGTTACTAATAATTATTTCCTTCTGCTTGATACCAAATAGGTAGCCAGTACATGCTACATAAACATTATGCTATGTAAGTTTTAACAATGTATAAACTCTAATAGCATAGCTATTTATATTGATTTTATGTCTGTAAATTTTATATTGAAAGGACTAGCCCATAATATTAAGTGTTGTCTGTCCTTGCTTTTGAATAATCCCTTAACTGACACCATGGAGACCTTAGAAGTAAAAGAAGACCTGCACATTTAAACAAAAGCTTGCTGTTCTTTTGTGGGGGGGGGGTGTTTTATTGCTGGGAGTAAAGTTTATTTGTGGGATATTTTTCATTTTAGTGATTAGAACAGAGCTGTACGAAAGTCTCCGAGGTCGGGGTCAGTGAGCCATGGACTCATCCGAACACAGCATAAGATAGCTTTCCATAGTAAGAACAAACAGTGGGTATTACGTGTCCTCTTGCATTCTCACAGAATGCATCCTCTCATTCTCACAGAACCCTAGGTTCCTGACTTCACACTATTCCGAGCAGGAGAGACACAGGTGACTTCTCGGAGGGAATCATCCTGTGAACTTGAGTCTAGGAAGAAATCATTTAAGTCTGTGTCATCAGCATCGCAGAACTTTGTGTCTTGATTATAAACATTGTCTTGTGCCCAAAGCTGACGAGCCATGCTTCAACCACAGTACACACAGTTCTCAATGTACAAGGCGACTCTGGCTGCGGGACGACCAGTATTCATGCTTACCTAAGGAATGATCCCAGCTGTGAGCAAAAGCATCTAAGACTCCTCCAAATATCTGATCCCTCTCCTACTACACATTGTCACTTGAGTGTTCCAGGGACATGGCCAAGCTGAAGCTGTCATGTCACTCCAGTGCCAACGCCTCGTTTTCTCCTCTGTCAGTGGAGACAACATCTATCTTCATCATCCACTCAGGTGTTCTCTTACAGTAACCTGCAAGTCATTCTTGTTCTCATGCCCCTTTCCTAGGGAGTCTTGTTGCCTAGAGTTACGTCGATCTCTAATGGATTTTAACCCCCTTAAGTCTCTTGTGCTGGTTAGTGTTTGTCAACTTGACTAAAAGCAGAGTCACCTGGGAAGAAGGAACCTCAATGGAGGACTGTCTCCATCAGGTTAGCCTGTGGCTTTGTCTGTGGGGCATGTTCTTGATTAGTGACTGAAGTGCGAAGGCCTGGTCTATTGGGAGCTATGTCAGCCCTGGGCAGGTGTTTCTGAATTTTATAATAAAGCAAGCTGAGCAAGCCAGGAGTAGCAAGCCAGCAAGCAGCACTCCTCCATGGTTAACTGCTTCAGCCTTCTGCCCTGACTTCCTGATTTGGTTCCCTTCTATAAGGCAAGAATCTGAAAGCCATATAACTTCTTTTGTTTTTTTCTCAAGATGCTTTTGGCTGGTGTTTTATCTAGTTACCATCAGAGAGGCTAACCAGAAGAGTCTCCGCTGTTTATTCAAATTCAAGCACATCCTCGATTGATTGGGTTAGTAGAACATTTCTTAACTGGTCTCCCTGCTTCAAGTCTCAACAGCATCTATTTGAAGGTTACTAGCTTTTGTGCATGCTTTTTTTTCCTCTCATTTTTTACCACTCACAATTGTGGAACTAATAACAATGCTGACTTTCATTCTTAGCCAAGAATATAAGAAATGGAAGTTAAACCTCAAATAAATTCTTTACCCTTGAAAGATGGGAAGTGGTAGACATAAAGTAAAATAAATGAAAAACTGCATGGTGTTGGCACAGAAACAGAAAGGTGGATCAATGGAGTTGAATAAAAGACCCAAAAATACCAGGCCACAGTAGAGGACAAGGCAGCCACTTTTGATGAGAACTGATAGACTAAGATCAGAAACAAGAGGAGAACCTCCCCTATCAGTGGACTTGGGGAGTGGCATGCATGCAGAAAGGGGAGGGAGGGTGGGATCGGCAGGGGAGGAGGGAGGGGCTTATGGGGGGATACAAAATGAATAATGTGTAATTAATAAAAAAAAAAGTATAAAAAAAAAGACCCAAAAATAAACCCATACACCTACGGATACTTGATTTTTGACAAAGAAGCCAAAATCATACTATGGAAAAAAGACAGCATCTTCAAAAAATGGTGCTGGTCTAACTGGATGTCTACATGTAGAAAAATGCAAATAGAACCATATTTATCACCTTGCACAAAATTAAAGTCCAAGACCTCAACATAAAACCAGAAAAACTAAATCAGTTAGAAGAAAAAGTGGGGATGACTTGAACTCATTGGCACAGAAGACAACTTCCTGAACAGAACACCAACAGCACAGGCTCTAAGAGCAACTATCAACAAATGGAACCTCATGAAACTGAAAAGCTTCTGTAAAGGAAATGACACTGTCATCAGAACAAAACAACAGCCTACAAACTGGGAAAGGATCTTCACCAACCCTATATCTGACAGAGGGCCAATATCCAGAATAGATAAAGAACTCAAGAAGTTAAACAGCAACATATCAAGTAATCCAATTAAAGAATGGGGAACAGAGCTAAACAGAGAATTCTCAACAGAGGAATATTGAATGGCAGAGAAACAAAGAAATGTTCAACACCTTTAGTCATCAGGGAAATGCAAATCAAAAAGACCCTGAAATTTGACCTTGCACCCATCAGAATGGCTAAAATCAAAGACTCAAGTGACAACACATGCTGGAAAGGATGTGGAGAAAGGTGAACCCTCCTCTATTGCTGGTGGGAATGTAAACTTGTACAACCACTTGGAAATCAGTATGGCGCTTTCTCAGACAATTAGGAGTAGTGCTATCTCAAGATCCAGCTATACCACTCCTAGGCATATATCCAAGAAATTCTCAAGTATACAAAAATAACATTTGCTCAACCATGTTTGTAGCAGTTTTATTAGTAATAGCCAGAATCTAGACACAACCCAGATGTCCCTCAACTGAGGAATGGATACAGAAATTGTGGTACATTTACACAATGGAATACTACTCATTAATTAAAACAAGGAAATTATGAAATTTGAAGACAAATGGTGGGAACTAGAAAAGATCATCCTGAGTGAGGTATCTCAGAAACAGAAAGACACACATGGCATATATTACATTATAAGTGGATATTAGACATATAATATAGGATAAACATATAGAAATCTATACACCTATAGAAGCTAAGCAAGAAGGAGGACCTTGGGTAAGATGATCAATCCTCACGTAAAAAGGCAAACTGGATGGACATCAGAAGAGGGAGAAAACAGGAAACAGGACAGCAGCCTACCATAGAGAGCCTCTGAAAGACTCTACCCAGCAGGATATCGAAGCAGAGGCTGAGACTTATAGCCAAACTTTGGGCAGAGTGCAGGGAATCTTATGAAAGAATGGGGATAGAAAGACCAGGAGGGGACAGGAGCTCCACAAGGAGAACAACAGAACCAAAAAAATCTGATCTGGGTACAGGGGTCTTTTCTGAGACTGATACTCCAACCAAGGACCATGCATGGAACCTAGAACCCCTTCACAGATGTAGCCCATGACAGCTCAGCCTCCAAGTGTGTTCTCTAGTAATGGGAACAGGGACTGTCTCTGACATGAACTCAGTGGCTGGCTCTTTGATCACCTCCCCTTGAGGGGGGGGGCAGCCTTATCATGCCACAGAGGAAGACAATCCAGCCAGACCTGATAGGCTAGGGTCAGAGGGAAGGGGAGGAGGACCTCCCTTATCAGTGGACTTGGGAAAAGGTATGGGAGGAGTTGAAGGAGGAAGGGTGGGATTGGGATAGAGCAAGGGAGGGGACAGCTGGGATACAAAGCGAATAAACTGTAATAGATAAATAGATTTAAATTAAAAAATTGCCATTGGCTGATAAAAAAATAAAACAAATGGAGCGGGCTTTGGGGTAGGAAGAACATCTACTAATGGGAAATATCCATATCTTTTCTAGAAATGAGCAGACATTTACTGAAATTCAGGCACCACTTCTTTCCCCTCCTATGATTCCTTCAGGTTATCCACCCAGCCACTATCAGCTGTACCAGCACAAGAAAAGTGTCTTTTAGCATGCAGAAGGTCAGCGGTTGACTGGAGGGGACACAGTGACAGCCATTGATTTCAATAAGCCCTGATTAAAAAGAACTTGCAGCCTACAGCTATACATACCACCCCCAGAGATCACCAAGATTACTGTGGATCAACAGTCAGCCCACCGTTGCAGGACTCAAGCAACATGAGCAAGGATGAGACTCTGGAACTGAAATGATCGAGTGAAAGTACAATGGTGTTAAGGTAGCCCAGACAGAGGACCTTCTGAGGCTCCCTAGCATCCCTAGAGACAGGGCTGGCACCTCTTCATACGGACATCCATGCTTCCACTTTCTGTAAGGTCTTCTCTCTCCTTGCTCACCACACCCTTTGAACTTCCTTAGTGCCCTAGGCTTATCACGTGCTTTCAAAATTCTGGGCTCTTGAGGAAATTTAATTCCTTCTACTTCACGCATTCTCCCTTTGCTCTCTTGGATGTTCCCTTGTTGTTATTATTTCTCCCTCTTCTCCTGGGGCTTCCGCTTCTGTACACATTCCATGCCTAGGGTAAAGCAGTTTGTTACATCTTGAATTTCCTCCCTGATAGCCCTTAAGATATTATTTTAATTACTTGTTCTTGGGACTATCCTCCTTAGGTGAAAAATGTCACCTTTCTCATATATTCTTGACTAGTTGCAGAATGACTGAAAGAGAAAAAAAAATGAATGGAATTTCAATTCATCCACTTGAGGGAATTTTCTAAGCTTCATTACTTTATTGACTTAACTCAGTAGAAAGAAACATGATGAAAACAGCATCTGGCTGAATTGCCTGTGCTAAATCCTGGTTTTACATGATGTCTTTAACTTTTGCCATTATTTTCAAAAAGACATTTAAATATAGTTTGGTATCATCCACAGTGCCAACCCCAAAACAGTCTATATTTGGTTAGTGAATGTCCGTTATGGAGTTATTCACAGATCTATTTTCCCTTCAGATTCAACGTTAATTCTTGTCTCCCCCTAAAAATTGGTGTGTTCTGCCGTTAAATGCAAGTCAACACAAAATTCTGTCTTTTTCTGATGAGAGCTCTAGACTTGTTTCATAATAGTCATAGTTTCATAGTATAGTTTCATAATAAATAATAGTCAAGCCTTAGCTCAGGTAACTGAATTCCTTATGTATTAAGTCTTCTCTTCCTCCACCCACTTATACCACACACACACACAAATGCGCACACACACACACACACACACACACACACACACACACACATGAGACAGAGACACAGACAGAGAGGGTAGTCTCTAAATCATGACCCCCTTGCCTCACTCTCCTAAGTTCTGAGCTTGTAGGCATGGTCCTCTGCTTAATTATGTACATCTTCAGGGTTACCTGAAAGACGAGGTGTGAAAGCTGTGAACAGTTGCTGAGCTGACTATTCCTCACTATTACATCCATTGGTCATTGGGAGCCCTGTGTTCAAAACATACTACTGAGCTGATTACACTTCATTCAGAAGCATGATCAGTGCTATTAATAATAGTAAATATTTTGTAACAATTTTGTGATTATGCAGCCAATGTCAAATACTTATTACACGGTAACAATAGATAATAAATAGTGGTGCCTGGGTTCCTGAAAAGACAGTGTATTTCTTAACTTGGCCTTTTAAAACTAATTAAATTCAGAATTACAAATCAGACCACAGTATTGCCCTTGCTACACAGGAACCAGGTAGATCTGCTAATCTGGATCCTTTAGTAGACACGGAGTTAAAAAGGATGGGTGTCATAATTAAGAAGTGGAATGGGGAGAACTGGTGAGAAGGGCACCATGAAACAACACCAAAACTCACACAGTCTCCAGCTTCTTCTGTAGGTATGTGTGTGCAAATTATATTTTTTTATTTAAATTTATTTTTTAAAATTTATTCACTTTACATTCTGATCAAAGCCCCATCCCTCATATCACCCTCCCCCTCTCTTCTCCTTATCCTCTTCCTATAGTCCTCAGAAAGGGGGAGCCCTCCTCCCCTACTAGCTGACCCTGGCCTATCAAGTCTCATCAGGACTGGCTGCAATCCTCTTCCTCTGTGGGAGAAGGAATCAAGGAGCAGTCAATAGAGCTTACGTCAGAGACAGCCCCTGCTGCCCTTACTAAGGAACTCACATGGAGACTGAGCTGCCTATTGGCTACATCTGAGCAGGGGTTCTAGGTCTTCTCCATGCATGATCCTTGGTTGGTGCATCAGTCTTCACAGGCCCTCCTGGGCCCAGATTTGTTGGCTCTGTTGGTCTCCTTGTGGAGCTCATGTCCCTTCCTGGTCCTTCTATCCCCCCACTCTTCTACAATACTCTCTATGCTCTGCCCAAAGTTTGGTTTTGTGCAAATGAGTTCTGCTTAAACTCATTGGTACAGGAGACAACTTCCTGAACAGAACACCAACAGCGCAGGCTGTAAGATCAACAATCAATAAATGGGACCTCATGAAACTGAAAAGCTTCTGAAAGGCAAAGGACACTGTCACCAGAACAAAACGACAGCCTACAGACTGGGAAAAGATCTTCACCAACCCTACATCCAACAGAGGGCTAATATCCAGAATATATAAAGAACTCAAGAAGTTAAACACCAGCAAACTAAATAATCCAATTTAAAAATGGAATACAGAGCTAAGCAGAGAATTCTGAACAGAAGAATATCGAACGGCAGAGAAACACTTAAAGAAATGCTCAACGTCCTTAGTTGTCAGGGAAATGCAAATCATAACAACACTGAGAGTCCATCTTACACCTAACAGAATGACTAATGTCAAAAACTCAAGTGACAGCACATGCTGGCAAGGTTATAGAGAAAAGGGAACCCTCCTCCATTGCCAGTGGGAGTGCAAACTTGTACAACCACTTTGCAAGTCAATCTGGTGCTTTCTCAGAAAATTGGGTGCAGCTCTACCTCAAGACCCAGCTACACCTCTTCAGCTTCCAAGAGAGAGCTGAAACTGGAACGAGAATCCTCAGCTTCCTTTGCCCAGCTTCTGATGGGTGGAGCAGTCTGCTGCCAGCAGGACTCTACTCGCTGGAAATTAAACGTTAGGAGTAGGGAAGAGGCATGTCCGCAATAGTCAACTCATTGCTCTTCCCCTAATCTCGCGTCAAATAAAGTAGAATATATGCAAACTATAGCAGGAAAATAAGGTATTTTATACAAAACCCCTTTGCTTGCATTCAGTTTATGTTATTCTTATGTATGTAAAATATGAAAACCTTTTCTCTGACCAAAACCCTTCACGCATTTTTGTGAACATTATGCTTCAAATGCATTTGTTTTGCTTAGGATCTCAGGAAGCAAGGTGATGAAAATAAAGGCCACGTAATCTATTTCCCTGAGTTTTCAGCTTCTGGCTCTCAGCTGTGATAATGATGAGCTCTTGCTGAACTCTGTTTACCTGAGCAAACTTGAATGTCTAAGGTGCATTTTAAATAAGACATTCGTTGAGCTCTTAGCCATTAAAATGTGCGTTTCCTAAATTAATATTATCTGCGCTCTGTGAATAAAACTGGATAAAAACTGCATTTGTACAAACTTGGGTCGAGCGAGGCTGCTGTGGTCCAAAGCATCTTATCTAGTGAGGCTGTCACTGTAACTCACTGACTGGTTGATTCAGTCACGCTTTTCCACATTCATAGACGGCATCTGAAATGTTAACAGGCATATTGTGTTCTGGATTACCAGAGAAGTAGTTGCAATCACTGATTTTTATTGCTGGATCTTCTCATAAATTTTAACTGTGTTTATCAACTCCATTAATATTGAATTATTCCTAGAGTGTTGTTTGTAGCCATCATCTGAGAATCTTCAAATTAACAGGGTCTGGGCAACAAAGTCAAGACTTCATGTTCATCGTTCTCTCATTTATCCACCTGAGCGTGACCTCCTCAAAGCCTCCTGTCACATCTTAGGCCAGCAGCTCCTGCCCGGTGTTCACTTACTAAATGTTGGGAATCGAACCCCAAGCCTTGAGGATGGGAAGTAAGTGTGCCAGTATTGGGCTATGCCTTCAGTCCTTTTTAATTTAATTTGATAAAACTTTTTACATTTTGCTAAAATTGCTCTAGCTAGTCTTGCTTTAAACATGCTCTTCTTCTGCCTCATCTTTCACAGAAGCTTGGGTTTCTGCTGTCTATATACTGATCTGTACATTTCCAGCATAAGCATTTTCTTACCATTTCTGTTCCCTACTAAAGTTGAAGCAAGGACTCACTGAAACATACAGCCCAACATAAATGACATAAAACATAGCTTCTTTTTTTTTTTTCTTCAGAAGTATAAAGAGCAGTGTGAGATACAGTGCTGGACACACCTTCAATGCAGAAAGAAAACACAGTATCATAGAAGCGTGGCTCGGGGGATATTTTATAAGGATTCAAAGTGTCCTACTTGAAGGAATGCAAACATTTGTTTCACCACACTTAATTATTCCTGCAGTTCTTCAGAATACAGTATTCCGGTAAATAGCTTCTTTTACTCCAGCCTTTTAAACAGCAAAGAGGGCTCAGCAGATGCACCAGAAGTGAATTGTGCTAATGCTGTATTATTAGGTAGAAAGGCGGGGGGGGGGCTTCCATCCCTTCTGTGAATATTATTTTAGCAACACTTGATCCCCAGGCTGCAAAGCTAATTGTCGGGGGGAGGCTTGTTATTAGTGAAAAGAACAAAACATATGTTCTGAGCCTGGAAGAAATGGTGGGAAAGAAGTAAGGTCATGAATTCTATTTGACTAAATTACTGCTGAACCAGATCGCAGATGCTGTGAGGGCCAGGTGGAAGTCAGCATACCATCTTCTTTTTCCATCTGTACAGTCCTTGCCATTTAAAGCCTCACACTTTAATATTGTTAAATATTATTACCTGAGGCATGTTGGCTTCTATGATATTTTTAGTATTTTAGCTCGTGTTCCTGATGCTAGGTGGGAAAATTTATGCACAGAAAGTCAACCCAAGTCTTCTGAAACTTGAAAGCCTGTCCAGAGAAATGTCTCTTGGGGCTCCTTTCCAGGGCGGCGAGAAGCAGCCTGTCAGCCAGCCCCCATGGTTCCCACCCAAAGCCCTCTGCAGCCAGCGGCAGTTGAAGGAGGCTGGACTGAGAAGGCTGAAGAGGAAACGAAGCTCATGGAACTGATAAGACAGACAGAGGTACATTCTTTGGCATGCAGACATTAAGGACTCTGCCCCTTTTAGCAGTGCTTAAAAGTACCATGTTGAATTTTTAAATCCTGCTATTAATATGCTCTCAGCAACTAAGCAGTTATGACCACCATAAGCATATGCCAAGCACTGAATTGGCATTTGGAGAGTAGCTATCCTGGAGACAGCCAGCTCACAGGAACGTCTGTTTTGTTTGAATGGAGACCAGGAATTATGACCTTAGCAAAGAAGAGAAAAAGGCCCAGTGGATACGTTCAAAGGTAATTACCCTAAGTGTAGTCAAGTTGAACCTTATGGCTTCATCACTCATCGTTCCTGAGGGAATGACTCAACATGTAAAAAGAGCAAGGAGCACAAAACTGATCACAGCGGAGACGTTCAGAAGTAAGAAGATGAAAAAGTGGTTTTGGCCAATTAGTTAATCAGTCAAGATTGCCAGACATAAAAAGTAGAAAAGAGAAAGGTCAGCTGTTGAGACAGGATTGGGGACAGAGAATGGAGAAAGCTTATATGCTTTGTGAATTTTTTTTTTTTAATCAAGCTATATGTTACTATTTTAACAGGGCTTCTCAAATTCATGACGTGTGTTCAATGTACATTTTAAGTGTGTGTCTAAATCAAGGTGACTGGAATGAAGAAGCTGCCATTGCTAGAGTCTTGACTCCTTGACAAGCTAAGAAGGATGAATCCCTAGCCAGGGAGTGAATAACCAAGCGTTGAGCTAGGACACGCCTGAGGTAGAATGAGGAGCTGCCAGGCGAGGACCTGGCAAAGCAGAAGGGTGGCAGCTGCATTTCAGAAGCTCGTAAGTTAGGACTTGACACACACTGTCCCCTCAGCATCTCTTAGCTAAAGGAAAGGCAGCTGTGGCTCTAAATCAGAAACTCACTTATTAGTTGCAAAGACGTCTCCTGTAGGAGGACCACCACACGCATGTCCATAAACACATTTTTCTCAACACTGCAAATGAGTTAAATGCTTTGTCAAAGTGGGTCTATCTGTGTTATTCCCCCAAGAGCTGTTAGCACTTTTTGTGCTTCATGGAAGCAGAGGAAATTCACCCTAATCTATGGCAGGAGGGGCGTGGGTTTACTAGAATTGTTTCAGTCAAACAATTCAGTCAAACAAATTGTGATTGCATGGGATTTCTTGTTTCCATCACACTCCTTATGCACACCAAATTGTTCTCCACATGCAGCCTTTTCCGGGCGTTCCTTGACAAACACATCTTTCTGAAGGCCAAGAATGGCAGCCCAGGCGCTCTCTGATCGCAGCTCAGGGAAAAGCAGAGCAGCATCGGCTGTACCAGGCTCCCAGAGTGAAGTGTGTGTGGGCCTACAGAGCGGAGACAGATTGGACAGCGGCGCTTCCCCGGGCCACCGCTATTTCAGAAGTAAATCTAATGTGAATATTGAATAGGCCTGGAGTCAGACCCCAGCTTTGACATTCCTAGATTGGTAGATCAGACAAGTTAATGAACTTTGCCGAACCTCATTTTCTCATTTGTCCAGTGGGAATAATACTTTCCTCACAAGGCTGATCAAATTATTATCCGAGCTTACATGTGTGAACATGAGAAGTTTAATGCTATCTGATGTGTGTGTATGTGTGTGTGTGTGTGAATTCGAATAGGACGCGTGGCCAGCATAGAACAATGCCAACTGCACACACTCCAGACCACGACTATAATCTACACTTTAAAACCACTTAAGAGAAGGCATGGTGTATCAAGCTTCTAATCCCAGCACTTGAGAGGTGGAGGCAGGCCGGAGAGTAAGGATCATCTTTAGCTACAATAGTGAGTTTAAGGCTAGCTGGGGCTGAGCAGAACCCTGTCTGTTTGTAATAGAGATAATAATAATTTAAAATAGTTTTCTCATTCATCTTAAATCTAGTTCACAACAGTTATTTCTACCCCCCTGTTGTGAGTTGTTCATTAGATGCGTTCTTTATGGAAAAACAACAGCAGTTCTTAGAAGAAGCAATATAAGCTATCAGATAATGTTCTTATAACTCATCGTTCTGGACTAACTGAATTTCCACTTCTCAGAGATAAGGTGTTGGCCTAGGAGGAAAAAAGCAGTTGCTCATTAAGTGTTTGTAATTCAAGGAATATAAATCTAAAGTTTGACACTTTTGTCTTAGTCTTTAAGTGGAAACTCGAGGCAAAGGTTCCCAGAAATAATGTTGGGGGGTGGGGAAGGGGAGGCACAATAGAAAGGCCCGGGGAAGTTCACTCTGCTGGTGAAGGGTCTGGAATAGCAGAGACATCCCTGCTGAGCACAGCCTTGAGACTTCACTAGGCTCAAGGGGAGAGCACCGGTCTTTGCTGGTAGAACGGTGAGTGCAGCCATGTCTCAGGAGTTGATGGTTAACGTGCCGCACTTGAAAAACAAGGTGAAAATGTAGAACATTTAAAGTGAGCAATAAAGGGGAAAATCCTTTGTACACCTCCAGGCAACGGTTACTTTGAAAAATACAGCAAAAGACAGCTTCTGAGAACAGACACTGGTGTTGCTAAAATGTACCTCTTTGAATTGATCTCGTCAGAAGCCAGAGTCAATGTTGATGCTGCTTCCAAGAGAGCACTCAGCCTTGAAAACTAAAGGCAATCAAATAGTGAAAGAATATGTAGCAATTAAGCAACAGATACAGAATGCAGTGTGATGATAGGAGGAAATGGCCTATCAGACACAGTGTAACTTACAAGGGACTTTCCAAAGATTATATGGGAAAGCCGGCTTTTTGGTTCATGTGGCTCATACTGCAGAGTATGAAAGGTACTCCTTTTTAGTCTTTATTAATCCCAGGTTGTTTACTTTGTATCCCAGACATAGCCTCCTCCCTCACTCCCTCCAAAATCCTACCCTCCCTCCCTCCCTCATCTCCTCCCTGCCTCTTTCCAAGTCCACTGCTAGGGGATGTCCTCCTCCCCTTCCATATGACCCTAGCTTATCAGGTATCTTAACTATGGTTCTGTAGCCATATAATTTTGATTAACTTTATACATGGACATCACTATGCTAGAAGCTGTGAAGTATCATTCTAATTTACATTTGTAGGTGGACTTTTATAAACTTTTGAATCACTGTGTAACTGACAGAGTAACATCAATAGTAGATGACACAGGATCTCATTGATTTATGATGTCAAGATGACAAAGACTCCTTACACTCACAAGCAAGTTGTTTAATGTAGATTTTTATATTATAGAGCAAAGCAATCCATTCTGTAAAAACAAGTATATGTGCTTTAATGAAATTCATAGCAATATCGACTATACTTGACCAGTTTCTGTAATTATACACTTAATTCTTTGTTAGTATCTTTAATTTATTAAGTTAACATAAAAAGTATTGGGTCAGTTCCTTCAAGGAAATATAGAGAGAATGTGTGTGTGTGTGTGTGTGTGTGTGTGTCTTTGTTCTTAGTTTTCTTCCCCTCCATGATCCTTTTCCTCACCAGCACCCCTCTCTTTCCCACTCTCTCTACCATCACCCTCCTACCCCACTGGTCCCCTTGCTTCCCAGTAAGCACTCTGTTTTTCCTTCACATGTAATTCTTTGCCTTCTCTATCTGCTATGTTCCTTTCATTCCATTTCTTCCCTCTCCTACTCCCTTTTCCAGTTCCATGACCTACAAACATAGACACACAAACACACGCACATACTCATTTATATATATATGCACATATATAATCTAAAAGTTAGGTTCCATGTATAAGGATAAACATGAAATATTTGCCTTCTTGAGTCTGGCTTATAAAATAGCTTAATATGATTTCCAGGTGCAACCATTATTCTGCAAAGGTCATGATTTCAATTTTATTTATGGTTACATAGTATTTTATTTGTTTTCTTTATCCATTCATCTCCTGGTGGATGGATATCTCGGTTTGTTCCATTCCCTTGCTCTTGTGAGTATGGATATGTGAGTATCCCAATGATATGCTGACTCAGTGTCCTTTGGCTATACACCTATGTTGATATAGCTGGGTCATTTAGTTCTAATTTCAGTTTTTGAAGACTCTCCATCCTCATTTTCATAGTAGCTGCACAAGTTTATATTCCTATCAGCCATGTGTAAAAGTTCCTGCTCCACTCCAATCTTTGCCAGCATTTGCTTTTATTTGTTTTCCTTACGGTAGTCAGTCTGATTTCCCTCTTGGCTAAGGCTGTAAAATACACTTAATAATATTTGCTAGTCATTCGCATTTCTTCTTTTGATAAGGATCTATTCAACTCATTAACCTATTTTTTCCTGATTGACTGATATAGAACCTCAGTACTGAGCAGGATGCAGGCAGAGGGCCTGCCTCTGGATTTGGGGGATCTCCTGAATCCCTACCTTCTGCAAGAGAGGTGATGGCCTTTTGAATGTCATGTATACCCCTGGGCCTTCAGAGTTTTAGTACTCTACAGCAGAGGACAGAGAGTTGGCTGCAGAATTTAATCCACCTGATGGCTCAGAGCTTTCAAACCCCAGGGTAATTCTCAGATGAGATCTGTCCCAAGTCACTTTTCTCTATGCACTGCCCAGCTGGAGCCATCCTTCTGCCACATGTATCCTGCAGCATTCTACAGCTCCTCACTGAACCTTCTCCAACCCAGATGCTACTTCAGACCAAAGCCAGGCTAGCCTGAGACTGTTTCCTGCTCGCAGGACCAAGAGGTAGCCAGTTTTAGCAATATACTCTATTTCAAAATAGCTCAAGGCCACTGTTCTCTGAGTCGTATGGTGTAATAAAAAGGAATTTTTCTCCACCATTGACCATATCCCACAACTAGATTTAAAGCCCATGAAGACTGTGGGCTTGTCCTGAGGGTGGGACTGTTTCATCTGTGTTACCTTTCGGAACCAGCTTCTGAGTCCTCTTCTTGTTCAAGGAGCGGTGCCACGGCAGCTGTGTTCAGGAAGTCGCCTCTCATCTGTCATCTTACTAGGCCCTCTCCTCAAGATGGTAAGAGAGTATGAAAACACATTCCTGCTTTAATTGGGTACAGAGAAAATAGACACTGTTGTGTTGAAGGAAACTGAACTTTTTAGAATCAATTGCTTAGTTATGCGTCTCATAAGCAAGTGCACTTTTGAAAGCACCCACACTTGCTTTTCGTCGCTGTGACAACATAACAGGCAGATGAATTATGGGGAGAAAAGAGTTGTTTTGGCTCATGGTTCCATTCCATCCCAGTTGGAGTCAATGGTGGAGTCCATGATAACAGGAGCATGTTCCTACCGTTTCTCACCTTTGAGCAGATGAGGAAGCCGAGAACAAAACTGGGCATGGCCATGGCCTTCAAAGGCCTGCCCCTGTTTCCCTACAGAGGCATCGCCCTGGCAGCAAGGCCATACCTCTTAAGAGTTTGCTAATTATTACCACCAGTTGAGGACTAGGTGTTAAAGCCCGTTAGACTGTAGGACGACATTTCATACTCAAACCACAACGTACCCCAAGAACATTTTCACGAACTTAGGCAAAGTTTGTTTGCTGGAGATGTTTATCACAGAACTATTTTTAGTAAAGATAGACAAGCAATAATTTTAAAACTTATCAATCAGAAATTGGTTAAATTAATTGTGGCACATAGGACAGCATGTCATAACTCAATTAAGATCAGCTTTCAGAGAGAATTGAAACAACAAATATGGCCGAGATACACTAAGTAAAAGAAACAAAATCTAAAGCATGTGGAACTAGGTTCTAAACACACATACACTGGTAAATTGAAAAAGCCTGGAAAGACCTAACAGCTCTAAGTGTTCCTTTTGTAGCAGGCATAACATGGGTTACTTTTATTTGTTTTTCTTTCTTGTGTATTTGCGTGTTCTGTGTTTTTTTTTTTTTATGATGAATGCAGAGTGTTCTTATGTGATAAGGAAACCAGTCATCTTTTTTTAGAGAAAGACTAACAAGGTAAAGTTAGTAGAAGTTCAGTTGAGCCATTTAAGGGAGGGAGACTGCCCACCTGGGATAAGGGACAATACTACAAAGGAATCCATTTCCACCTCTGACAGAACTTAAGAAAGGGGTACGCATCAGAAATTTAGGCAGAGAAAGTATTAGGCTCCATACAAAGGCGTGCATGTTTGAGTTGATGTGCTGTTAAGCAGATGGTGCTTACATCAAGGAATGGGAAGAGATACGACTGTCCAGAGAGATTGCTTGAAAGTGATTAGGTATCGGTCTCCTTGGGCTATGTTGGGATTTTCCCTCTCAGGATTGGTGTTTGAACACCCGGTCCAGAGTTGGTGGACCCGGTGTTTGAACACCCGGTCCAGAGTTGGTGTTTGAGAAGGTTGTAGAACCTTCAGGAGGTTGAGCCTCCCTGAAGGATGGAGTTCTCCAGAGGTTAGTCTTGAGACTTTATTGATGGCTTGACTTCCTATTCACTGCTGCATTTCTGAGCATGACTGCAGCAGGACCGGCGCCTCCTGTTCCTGTCAACATGCCTTCCCCGCTGCTGGGTGAGGGCCACCTTGTCCCCATGGCCTCTCATGGCCTTTCCTTTGTATGTGGGAGAAGGGACTCAGTTGTTTCTTCGTATAAGGAAACAAGCCCTATTAGGTTAAGCCCCTCATATCCATGTTTAAACCCTTGAGTCTTTAAATATGTTTGAATTAGGAATTTGGACTTTAACCTAAATGTCTGGGGGAGAGGGTAGAAATGTCTGTAACATCATCCAGGTTAAAATGATCAGACCATAGTTCGCCTCTGAAAAAAGAAAGGGACAACAGTTTAGGGAGATCATGTGGCCTTGATGTATATAAGCATTCTTAGAGCTACATTGCTTTGTTTTTAAAAAGGTTCATCCTACTCTTCCTTTTCTATGCTATATGTTGTTGTTGTTGTTTTTTTTTTTTCTTTTCTTTTTTTTTAACTAGGAGGCTGCAAGAGAGCCTTGGTGATCTGTTAGAAACGTGTCCTCACCAGCTCTCTAGCTGTAAGGAATACTTCTGGAGAACAACTGTGTGGAAAAAAGAGGCAGCAAGAAGGGGAGCACACAGAGTCTCAGGGGGAGCTAGCTAGTGACAGACTGCAAACACACTGGGGTTTCAGTGGCTGCACTTTTACTGGAAGAATGGGAAGCAGGTACATTACAAAGCCCTTCCCTCTCCTACCTTCAGTGCACCAGCAACCCCAGATGGCATGCTAAGTGGCAGCCAACACAGACTCTCATCTGCTCTCGCTGCCGTGGCTATTATAGATGGTTTAACCACACACTCTTTGAACATTGCTGGAGCAACCTCCAGCTGGAGTTGGTTCATCAGTCATCAAAGCACCAGGAAGCTCCTCTCTCTCTCTCTCTCTCTCTCTCTCTCTCTCTCTCTCTCTCTCTCTCTCCAGGGCCAGTGGCTCTTCTCAGGACCAGCATCTTTTCCTGATTTATGTTTGTCCGGGACCTTCTTCCCTAGTCGGAAACATTTGTCTTCTCCCATCTATGTGATGTGTAGGATACCACAGCATCTTAACACCCCCATGTTTCTTCTCAGCTAAGGAATGGCTCTGAATGCAGGAGTAGAAGCTGCAGAAGTAGGAACCAGGTCTTTTCTCTTTTGATCATCAAGTGCCGCATGCTCACTGGTGCCACACAGTGGGTCCAGATGTCGCTGTACCCCAGCTTGAGGAGACGTCCTCTATGGAAGCTATAATCATAAAGCAGAGCACCAATCGGGGCTGGGTATTTATAGAGCACTGGTCCTTTACTGTGGATTTTTTTTTTAACCACAAAATGATCAATATTTGACTTCTATGAATCCGTGCGATAAGAAGCTTATGAACAGACTCTTAGACACTTCTGAAACACTGAGAATTAAAGTTATAACCTAAATTCCAAGGTCATAAGCTGACTAGCTAGTTTTCAGTGTAATTGTCGTGAAAGCGCTTTATTGGCTACTTTATTTTTAAAAGATTTTTGTAAACTCATTCACTTTATTCCACATTATCTCCGTGGAAACCAAATGAAAAATGCTTTTTATCCTCTCCTTTCTCTCTGTCCCATACAGGGACACATCAAGAAGGTAGCCATTTGTGAGTCAGGAACAGAAGCCCTCAGAAATTGATTTAGCCATTACCTTGACTTGGGACTCCAGAACAGGAGAAATGGTCTACTGTTTAATCCATTTCACCTCTGGTATTGGTTTGGCATCTATGGAAGCTAAGTAGTGAACACTGTTAGAGGAAGTTTAAAAAAAATCACAGCACATATAACACATACACACACACACATACACATCACACACACACACACACACACACACGTGGATCTGCAGCAATTTTACTTCTATAACAATCAGCATAAATTTCTTGATTAATTAAATAACCTTTATTTTGTTTGCTAATTATAAAAAGGAAATAGTGTCATAAAGTCAGTGGACAAACTAAGAGCATCAATATAGAAATAGAGATGCTATCACTCACAAGTAAAGTTATCTTAGTTTGGTATAAATATAACTAACTGTCCATGGTTTCCAAAGGCTTGTCTAGGCTTGGCCACTGTGATAATTATTAAGTCCGATGGCAAGTCAGTTCTGAAAGTTGCTCTGCTTGTCTAAGAAACTATTGTGACTTTTCCTTATAGAATTTAACACTTAAAAATAATGCAATATTTCTGGTAACAGACATTTGTTTTCTGAATTTTCTATTGATTGCCAATTAGATTTCTTAAGCTTTTTAACTGTTGTGAGGAATAATGATATATAAATTTTTATTTATTTCCTGGTTTTGTTTCCTAACTTTAATTTATATAAACATGTTTTTCTAATTATTTTTTTATAATTTATTCACCTTATATCCCGGTTGTAGCCTCCTCCCTTGTTTTTCTTCTGATCCTATACTCCATCCCTCTTCCCATGTGTCCCCTCCCCTAGTCCTCAGAAAGGGGGAGACCTTCTTCCCTACCTTCTGATCCGAGCCTATCAAGTCTCATCAGGACAGATTGCATCCTCTTCTTCTGTGGCCTGGCAAGGCAGCCTCACTAGGGGGAAGTGATCAAAGAGAGAGCAATTGGAGCAGACAGCCCCTGCTCCCCTTACTAGGAAAAGCACACAGAGACAGAGCTGCCTATTGGCTACATCTGAGGTCTAAGTTTTCTCCATGTACCATCCTTGATTGGTGCATCAGTCTCTGCAGCTCCCCCACCCACCGGGGCCCCTATTTGTTGCCTTTATTGATCGCCTTTGTTGATCGCTCTTGTCCCCTCTGGGTCCTTATATTCCCCAACTCTTCCCTAAGACTCCCTGCACTTTGCCTAAAGCTTGGTTGTGAGTCTCAGTATCTGCTTCGTTCCCTTGCTGGGTAAAGCCTTTCAGAGGACATCGATGGTAGGTGCCTGTTCTTTTCCTTCTCTTCAACCACTTCCAGTGTCTATTCTGTTTTCCCTTCTGAATAAGAATTAAGGATCCTCCCTAAGGTTCTCCTTGTTACTTAGCTTGTTTTGGTCTGTGGATTGTAGTATGGTTATCCTGTATAAGTGAGTATATAACCATCCCAGTCTTTTTGGTTTGGGTTACCTCATTCAGGATGATTCTTTTCTAGTTCCATCATTTTGCCTGCAAATTTCATGATTTCTTTCTTTTTTTTTTTTTTAATAGCTCAGTGGTAGTCCATAATTTCTTTATCCATTCTTCAGTTGAGGGATATCTAGGTTGTTTCTAGATTCTGGAAATAAAGCTGCCATGAATGTGGTTGAGAAAATGTCTTTATTGTATTATGATGCATCTTTTGGGCATATGCCCATGAGTGGTATATCTGAGTCTTGAGGTAGCACTATGCTCAATTTTCCAAGAAAGTGCCAAATTGACTTCCAAATTGGTTGTACAAGTTTGCTCTCCCACCAGCAATGGAGGAATGTTTCCCTTTCTCCACATCCTCTCCAGCATGTGTTGTCACTTGAGGTTTTCATCTTAGCCATTCTAACGTGTAAGGTGGAATCTCAAAGTCATTGGAGTTTTCATTTCCTTGATGATTAAAGATGTTGAACATTTCTTTGGTGTTTCTCCTCCATTTGATATTCCTTTGTTAAGAATTCTTTGCTTAGCTCTGTACCCCATTTTTAATTGGATTATTTGGTTTGTTGGTGTTTAAATTCTTGAGTTGTTTATATATTTTGAATATTAGCCCTCTGTTGGATGTAGCATTGGTAAAGACCTTTTCCAAGTCTGTAGGCTGTCATTTTGTTCTGATGACAGTGTTTTTGCTTTACAGAAGCTTTTCAGTTTTGTGAGATCCAATTTATTGTTGATCTTAAAGCCTGAGCCTGTTGGTGTTCTGTTCAGGAAATTGTCTCCTGTGCCAATGATTTCAAGGCTCTTCCTCACTTTTTTCTTCTAATAGAGTTAGTGTGTCTGTTTTTATGTTGAGGTCTTTGATCCACTTGGATTTGAGTTTTGTGCAAGGTGATAAACATGGATCTACTTGCATTTTTCTAAATGTAGACATCCAATTAGACCAGCACCATTTGTTGAGGATGCCATCTTTTTTCCATTGTATGGTTTTGGCTCCTTTATCAAAAATCAATTGTCCATAGATGTGTGGTTTTATTTCCAGGTCTTCAATTCAATTTAATTGATCCAAAAGTTTGTTTTTATGCCGATACCACACAGTTTTTATTACTGTTTCTTTACAGTACTACTTGAGATCAGGGATGGAGATAACTCCAGAAGATTTTCTGTTGTACAGGATTGTTTTAGTTATTTTGGTTTCTTTTGTTTTTCCATATGAATATAAGAATTGTTCCTTCAAGGTCTGTAAAGAATTGTGTTGACATTTTTTTTTTTTTTTTGGAGATAACCTAGAACCCCTGCACAGATGTAGCCCATGCCAGTTTAGTGTCCAAGTGGGTTACATAGTAATGGGAAGAGGGACTGCCTCTTACTTAATCTGATTGGCCTGCTCTTTGATCACCTCCCCTGAGGGGGGAGCAGCCTTACCAGGCCACAGTAGAGGACAATGCAGCCACTTTTGATGAGAACTGATAGACTAAGATCAGAAAGGAGAGGAGAACCTCCTCTATCAGTGGACTTGGGGAGTGGCATGCATGCAGAAAGGGGAGGGAGGGTAGGATCGGGAGGGGAGGAGGAAGGGGCTCATGGGGGGATACAAAATGAATAAAGTGTAATTAATAAAAAATTTTAAAAAAGAATTGTGTTGACATTTTGATAGGAACTGCATTGAATCTGTTCATTTCTTTTTTTGGAAGGCCATTGTTGGAAGGCCATTTTTACTATGTTAATCCTACCAATCCATGAGCATAGGAGATTTTTTTTATCTTCTCATAGCTTATTAGATTTCTTTCTTCAGAGACTTGAAGTTTTATTCATACAAGTCTTTTACTTGCTTGGTTAGAGTTACACCAAAAATACTTTATGTTTTCTTGTGGCTATTATAAAGTGTGTAGTTTTCCTAATTTTTTTTTCTCAGCCCATTTGTGTTTCACATCCAGGAGGGCTACTGATTTTTTTGAATTAATTTTTTATCCAGCCACTTTGCTGAAGCTGTTTATCAGCTATAGGAGTTCTTTTCTAGAATTTTTTTTGTGGTCACTTATGTATACTATCATATTTTCTGTGAATAGTAATACTTAGACTTTTTTCTTTCAAATTTTTATTGCCTTGATCTCCTTTAGTTGTCTTATTGCTCTAGCTAGGACTTCAAGTACTATGTTGAAGAGATATGGAGAGAGTGGGCAGCCTTGCCTTGTCCCTGAATTTAGTGGAATTGGTATAAGTTTTTCTTTGTTTAGTTTGATGTTGGCTATAGGCTTGCTGTATATTGTCTTTACTACACTTAGGTATGTGCCTTGTACCACTGATATCTCCAAGACTTTTAACATGAATGGGTGTTAGAATTTGTCAAATGCTTTTTGGGCATCTAAAATGATCATGTGATTTTTCTTTTAGTTTGTTTATACAGTGGATTCCATTGATGGATTTCAGTATTTGCACCACCTCTGCATACCTGAGATGAAGCCTACTTGGTCATGGTTGATGATATAGTTTATGTGTTTTTTTTATTCAGTTTGGGAATATTTTCTTGAGTATTTTTGCATCAATGTTCATAAGGGAAATCGGTTTGAAATTTTCTTTGTTGTGTCTTTGTTTAGGTATCAAAGTGGCTGTGGCCACATAAAATGAGTTAGGTAATGTTCCTTCTGTTTCTATTTTGTGGAATAGTTTAAAGAGTATTGGTATTAGCTCTTCTTTCAAGGTCTGGTAGAATTCTGCACTGAAACTGTCTGGCCATAGGCTTTTTTTTGGATGGGAGACTTACTTGTTGACTACTTCTATTTTCTTAGGGATTATAGGACTATTTAATTTATTTGTCTGATCTTGATTCAGTTTTGGTAAGTGGAATCTAACAATAAAATTGTCCATTTCATTTAGATTTTCAAATGTTTATCATATAGGCTTTTGATGTAAGAACTAATGATTGTTTGGATTTCCTCAGTGTCTATCCTTATGTCGCCCTTACATTTCTGATTTTGTTATTAGAATAGTATCTTTCTGCTTTTTGGTTAGTTTGGCTAAGGGTTTGTCTATCTTGTTGATTTTCTCAAAGAACCAGCTCTTGGTTTCGTTGATTCTTTAAATTGTTCTCTTTGTTTCCAATTTACTGATTTCAGCCATGGAATTTGTTTATTTCCAGCTCTCCACTCCTCTTGAGTGCTTTTGGTTTTTTCCTAGTGCAGTTAAGTTGCTTGTATGAGAGGTCTCCAATTTCTTTATGAAGCCACTCAATGTTATAAACTTTCCTCTTAGCTTTCATTGTGTCCCCCATGTTTGGGTATGTTCTGCCTTCAGTTTCTGTAAAATTCAAAGAAGTCTTACATTTATTTCTTTATTTCTTTCCTGACCCAGCTATCGCTGAGTAGAGCTGATCAGTTTCCATGAGTGTGTAGGCTTTTTTTTGGCTATTTCTGTTGTTGTTAAGGTCCAGCTTTAGTTCATGGTGGTCTGATAGGATACAAGGGATTATTTTAATCTTCTTGTATCTGTTGAGGCTTGCTTTATGCCTGACTATATGGTCTATTCTGGAGAAGGTTCCATGAGTTGCTGAGAAGTTATATTCTTTTGTGTTTGGGTGAAAAGTTCTGTAGATGTCTGTTAGGTGCATTTGATTCATGACCTCTGTTAGTGTTACTGTTTCTCTGTTTAGTTTCTGTTTCATTGAGCTGTTCTTTGGTGAGAGTGGGGTGTTGAAATCTCCCATTATTAATGTGTGGGGATCGATATGTGGTTTAAGCTTTATTAATGTTTATTTTACAAATATGGATGGCCTTGTAGTGGAGGCATAGTTTTTTAGAATTGAGATATCATCTTGGTGGAATTTTCTTTTGATGAGTATGAAATGTTCTTCCCCAACTCTTCTGATTAATTTTGGTTGAAAGTCTATTTTATTAGATATTAGGATGGCTACTCCAGCTTGTTTATTGGGTCTATTTGCTTGGAAAACCTTCCAGTCCGTTATTTTCAGGTAATGTCTATCTTTGTGGCTGAGGTGTATTTCTTATATGCAGCAGAATGATGGGTCCTGTTTATACATCCATTCTGTAAGTCTGTGTCTTTTTATTGGAGAATTGAGTCCATTGATGTTAAGATATATTAATGAACAGTGACTTTTAGTTCTTTTTATTTTGTTGTTGGTTATGGTAATGTTTTTATGTACTTATTTTCTTTTGGTTTTGCTGTTGTGAAGTTATTTATATCCAGTGTTTTCTTGGGTATAGTTGACCTCGTTGGGTTGAAGTTTTTCTTCTAGTATCTTCTATAGGGCTGGGTTGGTACAGAGATATTGTTTAAATTTGGTTTTGTTATGGAATATCTTTTTTTCTCCATCAATGGTGATTGAAAATTTTGCTGGGTATAGTAGTCTGGGTTTCTTAGTGTCAGCCTGACATCTGCCCAGGCTCTTCTGACTTTCTTAGTCTTTGTTAAGAAGTGATGTTTGATTCTGATAAGTTTACCTCTGTATGTTACTTGGCTTTTTTCCCTTGCCACTTTTAATATTTTCTCCTTTGTTCTGTGGATTTATTTGTTTTGATTATAATGAGGTGGGAGGAATTTCTTTTGTGGTCTAATTTATTTGGTGTTCGGCAAGTATCTCCGTCTTTAAGTTGGTAATTTTTTTTTCTATGATTTTGTTGAAAATATGTTCTGGTCCTTGGAGCAGGTAATCTTCTCTTTCTTCTTTTCCTTTTACTCTTAGGTTTTGTCTTTTCATCATGTCCTTGACTTCTTAGATATTTTGTGTCAGATTTTTTGGACTTAACTTTTTCTTTGACAGATGTATCAATTTCTTCCATTATGTCCTCTACACCCGAGATTCTTTCTTCTGTATATGTATTCTGTTGGTAATGCTTAACCCCTGTAGTTCCTGTTTTATTCTCTAAATAAGTTCTTCCTCTCCAGGATTTCTTCAGTTTGTGCTTTCTTTAATATTTTCATTTCCAACTTCAGATCTTGAAGAGTTTTGTTGATTTTCTTTACCTGTTTGTTTGTATTTATTTATTTATTTTTTGCCTTTCATTAAATGATTTGTTCCATCCCTTCACCTGCTTACACTTTCCTGTATTTCTTTCAGTGATATATTTATTTTCTCTCTAAAGGCCTCAATCTGTTTGACTGTATCTTCTTGTATTTCTTATATTTATGGTTGTATAGCCAAGCCTTTAAGAGCTGAGCCATCTTTCCAACCCCTTCCTGTATTTCTTTATGGACTTTATCCATTTCCTCCATTATCGTCCCCATAAGCATAGATGTAAGGTCATTTTCTTCTGTTTCAGTTGTGTGAGAGTATCCAGGGCTGCTTGCCTTGGTATAACAGGGTTCTGAGGATGCCATTTCATTCTGACTTTTGTTGGTTGTCTTTTTCACACTGTCCTTTAGGCATCTGGTTGTCTCCGGCTTTGGCTGTTAGGTCTTATTGCCTACTGGAGTTCTTGGGAATGTGGGAAGAGCTCTAGCAGGAAGCTGGATGTTCCTGCAGGAGCCATTCTCAGATTGGTGGGACTAATCTCAGACTGGTGGGTAGGTCTCGTGGACTCGCCCGAGGTGGGTAGATCTCAGATGTATGATCCTGGGGACCAAGTGAATGCCTCAGGAGCTCGGAGATTCTCCTTTAACCAAGGGCAGTCCTAGAGTCAGCTGCCCTACCACTGGCTGTCTTGCTCTGAGCTGAGTGAGCCCATGTACTGTGCTTGCTCTGTACAGCCATTTTAGAGAGCCTGTGAGCTCAGAGGTCTCGCTGTGCTCCTTAGGGAGCAGGGTCTGTGGTTGCTACCATGGGTCCCAAGAAACATTAGGCCAGAGGTTGGAGCCTCCTGCCCCAGAGAGTGAAAGTGGGCACCTGAAATTGGGGCCAGAAGGTATCTAGTGAACGGTATTAATGGACTCCCGCTTTTGGAGCAGGGTGCCACTGGTACCGGAAGGTGTCCACAGAATGGTGAGTGAGTGCCCGAGTTTTAAGCCTCACCCCTGGTACCAGGAAGTATCCACTCCACTAATGATGAAAGTGGGTGCCTGGGGTTGGAGCCACAAGCCACTGGTACCTGGAAGGTATCCACAGAAGGTGGGTCTGGGTAGGTGGCACATGGCTGTGCCATGTTGGAGCCCGGAAACTTTTCCGGGGATTAGCCGGGTGACCTGAAGTTGGACCCTCGTGTTTCCTGTAGGCTCTCCCTCACCTGAGAAACTCAGACGTCAGGGTGATGGTATCCACAGCAAAGCCTGTTGGTCTCTCTACTCCCAGTGCTGAGCTGCTGTTCAGATACCGTGCACGGTCGGCGCCGCCATCTTCAATCCGTATAAACATGTTTGAGCATTTGGACACATATTGTCAGAGTGTCCCACAGGGGCAGTGCAAGCGTCTGTGATGAAGCCTTTGCGAGTCAATGGGAATTCTGCTGCTAAGTGTGGCGATTTACACACACACACACACACACAGGTTTGACTGAAGACAGATGTTAGAGGCTTATGTTAGCTGATGTGTCTTCGGTGACTTACTTGTACAGGGAATATTGACAGGTTTTTATTCTCATTCAGAGCACTCTACCCCAAAGAACAATATAACATCATGAGCTCTTTAGGTTTCTTAGGAGGCTCTCCTTTGTTTTGCTGTTGGATGCACTTTGCATTTTCTATTGTTTCACGCAACTAACTATCAGATCAGTGGTGACACGCATCCAATTTTTTTTCTGATTTTTTTTAAGACACAAAAAATAACCGACAATATGTTTATTTGTTGCGTTTAATGTTTCAGATAAACTTTCACCATATGGAGAAACTAAAAAGATTCAGTGATTAATTTTTTCTTCTAAATTTTTATGATTGTATTTTTCTCTTTTAACAACTATTCAGGCTTCTTCTTCTTCTTCTTCTTCTTCTTCTTCTTCTTCTTCTTCTTCTTCAAAACATAACTGAAAATGTTTTGTTCTTTGTTGGCCTAAAAGAATTCTTTCAACTTTGTTACTGACTAGTCTTGGTTCCCCTATGGAGCTGGAATGCCATTTTAGAATGTACCACACTCTCACACAGGATCACCCTGCAGTTAAGTGAATGGATGCCTTTAAAGTTATAGGCATTTTATAATGTAGTGTGCTACCTGAAAGCGGCAGTTACTTCCTATTCCATTTTGTTATCATATATTACTCGAGGGTGATTGTTTATTGAATCTTGTAAAAATTATAGAATTCTTTTTCAACCTTATAAAATCATTACATAGGTGTTCTGACTCCAGCTTTATAAGACTATTCATTAACTTTATGAAGATGGACAACTTTTGTAATATCCACTTTTCACAGTCAGACATATGGCAGTCTTATGTGCATTGAAATTTTTGGTCCATCAGTAAAATTACAGAGTTTTTATATAAGAAACTCACATTTTAAAATTAAATATTTCTGTTCAGTGATGTTTTTTCTTCCACTGAATTTTCTGAATGTCTAATTTTAATAAAAAGAAAATCTATTAATGTTCTAAAGTTTACTTATTTACTGATTCATTTAAATGCTCATTTTTTTATTACTGAGTTTTTAATTATTTGATTGGCAAATGCTTCCTAAGAATAAAATTGCATAATGTTTATACAAGGAATATATATGTGTGTGTATACATACATACATATATATATACATACATACATACATAAATACAAATATATATCAGCTTTGATATTCTGGTACATACTGTGAATGCATTCTCAATTACAAAGTAAATTTTATTATACTAATATTTCTCTCATTCTATGATTCTATGCTTAGTAAGTATTTTTGATAAAATTCAATGCTACCTACAAGGGTCTCTTTCAATTTCTTTTAATTTTTCAGGCTTTTTCTAATTGTAACACAAAGGACAAATGTCTTAAGTTTCCTCACCATTGGTAGTTCTAGTTCTTTGGTCATTAAGTAATATATATATATATATATATATATATATATATATATATATATATATGTATGTCTAGATTCTTAATCCAAGATTTATTGTACTTGAAGTTTTGTTAAACACAATGTGACTCCATCTGTGGAAAAGTCAAGCCTACAAGGCAATCTTCACAAAGGCCACTGAAACCCCTCAATTTAATCCTGTCAGGACACACTGTGTGCCTTTCTTCCCAGCCCTCCTTACCTGAGCCTAACAACTGAATGAATATTTAAGTAGGGACAGAGCTCTCCCAAAACAAGGATTGAGGCCGTGTGCCATTGGTAGAGTCCTCTCCCCGCACTGGTGAACTCCCAAGAGCCCTCTCAGTGGCACATAAACCTGCTGGTGCACACCTGGAGCCAGCACTCAAGAGCTGGAAGCAGCAAGGTCAGAAGTTGAAGGTCATCATCAGGAAGCAGTGACTCTGAGGCTAACAACATGTCTTACACGAAGCTTTTTCTCAGAGAGTTTTAATAACTATTTTGAGACATTTGTCGGCTGTCCCTTTGTGTTTCAGTTGCTGGATGACTGCACTGCTCGTCTGAAAATGTCCCAACCAGCCAAAACCTTTTATACCTCAAATGGGGAGCTCATTCAGTCATGGGATGACATAGAGAGGGATATGACTGTGTGTCTGCAGGACATGGCTTTATAACCTCAAAAGGTACCTGTGACACCTCCTCTCTTATCAAGGTCCTGAAGAGGGAAAGCATTCAGTCTTCCCTGCAGTCTTTGCCTGCTCAACTCTGAACACTGTAGGATGAATTTTAGTAATTACACTCCTTGTGGTGGGCTTGCCCATCTTATGAAGGTGAAGTTTGTGTCTGTGTGTTCGAGGAAAATCATTGTTAACACTGTTTACCCTGAGGAACTCAGCCAAATCTCAGTGAGTCTTGGGCTGTACCCAGGCCAATTTACAGAAACAATGAGGCTGTTTGAAGGCATTTCCTTAGTGATGGATCTCGAGGAAAAGTGAGGTTCCTGTTGATTTCTTACTATTCAAATTATTCAAAACGATGCTTTTTTAATGGCATTTCTCAGTCTGCAGATTTTCTTTCTGTTGCAGAAGTGAACACATGCTAGTTCTAATACACTCTATTTACTAGTCATTTCCTTCGATAAACGACAGAACTGGAAAGAACATATGTTTACAAAATGAACTCTAGTCTTTCATCCTGAAGAATTTAAAGCCCTTTCTGTGGGAAGGAAGATACTAACAAATCATAATCTTCAAGAAATTTCAAAAGTCATTATTTTTACATTAAGGAAATGAAAAGATTAGGAAGAAAATCACCTGATATCCCTATAATAAAAATACTGGAGGTTTTTTTTTTCTTTTAGAAATGCACCATAAAATTATTACTATGTTATGAGTAAGGTAGGTAAATGGAAGAGATTTAAGAAAGTTGGAGATGTATCCTCTTATTTGGCACAGAAGAGACAGAAGTATAGAATTGCTTGTGGAGAACTGAGAAGACACAGATTATTGCTGTGTGTAGTACTGTTCAGAGCGATGACACAAAGCCCTCCTCAGCTCTGTCCTACCTTGTGGACAGGTCCCAGGCTATGCATTCTTTGTGTTCTGTTATCTCTGCCCCCAGCACTGCTTGGAACCTCGGCTCAGTATGTGCTCCCTTAAGATGTATTCAACAATGGTAAAGTTGTTATCACCTGTAATGTTAGTTAACAGCTTTCTGTGTTTTCAAAGGACACATTTTATAAGAGAAAAGAGAGATATACCCAAGACTTCCTTTCGGAGAGCCTTCAATTTATTTGTGAATATAAACACACTAGTTACTTTTCTTATTGCTGTGGCCAAATACCTGGAGTACAGCCCTTCATGGGAGAGAATGCCCTGAAACAAGAGGCAATTGCTGGTCATGGGTCACATTGCAGCTGTGGTCAGAAATGAGGGAGTAGCAACACTGATGCTCAGCCTGCTTTCTCTTTCATTCAGTCCAGATCCCCAGCCCAAAGGATGGTGACTCCCACATTTGGTACGTCTTCCCATCTCACTTAACTGAGTCTAGAAACGCTAGCAAAGACACGCCCCGAGGGGAGGCGGTTCTAGATCCTGTCAAATGGCTGTCAGTCTTAACCATCACAATGAACACACTTCAAACGATGGCAGTCAGTGGAGAAGTGAGCAAGCAGGCACTGCAGCAGGAAACCATGGTGAAGTCCCCCCATTACACGCACTGCTCAGGCTTTCACAGTCTCATCACGAACCTTCTCGCCCTATTGTGTGCACTGAGACTGGCTGATAAATAAAGCCAAATCTGCTTTGGGAAAGCTAACCCAAAGGCTATCCAAACCACAGAGGAAAATTCAGGCTGCCTTCCCAGGAACAAGCTTGTTCCCAAAATACAAAAATCTGTAAGGGGGATTGAGAAAATTGGAAATCACATACTGCTCTTTGCTAACAATGTCTACAAGTCTATGTGGACAGGCATTCAGTTTTGAATCTGCAGTTTTGTAGATGCAGCATTTCTGTGAAGCCAAAGCTGCCCCTGTCCTGTGGAAGCGGCTGCCCATAGCAGCTTCATGGTAAAGGGTTTGTGGTTTTTCCTAGCTGCTTAAATCCTATTCATTGCATCATGTCTGTTCTAGGAAATACAATTGGTCACAGATTCAAGTTCAGTGATTCCTCGAAACTGATTTTTTTTATGTCATTTTGTTGTTTCCATGAAATAAAAATAACCACCTAATAGAAATACACATTTTTCAAATACTTTAAAAAGAAAGAGAAATGATTTTGCATGTGTTTATTCATTATGAGGTTTAACTAATTAATCAATCCACACATGATTTCTCTATGACTTACTAGCTAAAGTACCTGTAAGAAAATAAAGCATTCTAAGAGTATCAAAACATGGCAGTGACTTATTTCATATACAATAACGTAAAAGTCATTTAACAGGCAGTTGTCAGTCATGAACTATGTTGATTTTTTTTTTGAAAATGAATTTCATTTGGCAAAACAAACTAGATGCGTTCAGAATGGAATCTTTGGCTCTCACGCCTAACACAATTTGAAACGTTTTCTGTCCTCTGCAATAATGCCTGAATGCTGTCCTAAATGCTTTGATTTTCGCTATCTGTGGGTTTAGTCTTCTTAGAGCACTCCTATGTTAGCCTTTTATTCAGGTGTTATAGTACCTGGAAGGAAGCCCCGTGAGTGTCTCTGATTGCATAGGCATGCAAAGAGGAGCAGCCCATGCCTGACTGTGTGAGCAGAGCAAGTGTGTGATGAGAGCGTAGGGTGAGAGCCAAGGATTCTGGGTGAGCTTCAACGCCCTCATCATCCTGCACTTTAATTAGGTTCTATAGATACATTGACATGTCTCTGAATATATATATATATATATATATATATATATATATATATATATATATATATATATATGCAATACATGTGTGCTTTTCTTTTAACAGAAAAAAAGCAAGTGATGGAAGTCAAAGCAAATTATGCTGTCCGAAGGCAGCATGGCCCTGAAGCAACAGACATTGTGGTGTCACCATCTATGAAGCTGCTGTCTCTCCTGCAGCTACACAACTGACTCCAGTCAGAACCTCCTATCTTGTGCTGTATTTTACATATATCGCTATGTGTACATTCTCATAGAGTCATATAATAGCATATCATATGACATGATAAATCTTTTTTGTTTGTTTGTTTGTTTGTTTAAGACAGGGTTTTTCTGTGTAGCCTTGGCTGTCCTGGACTCACTTTGTAGACCATACTTACGGAGATCTGCCTGCCTCTGCTTCCCTGAGTGCTGGGACTACAGGTGTGTGCCCCATAGCCAGCTAGACATGATAATTCTTTCTCCCATTCAAGTTGTACACAGTCTCTCTTGTCCCATTCAGCATTGAGATTTGAGCCTGGTAGTTAACATGTGGTTGACCGCTGTGCCCCTGAGCTATGCCTCCAGCTCGCTCCAACAGTCTCCTTTAAAGGTTATTAGTTTCTACATTTTATGCGAAGTAGCATTGGATGCCCAAGCCTGTTCCTGAAAAGGCAACAAAACAAGACAAATAATGCGAGTTAGACGATCATCTTAGATGAACTTTCTCTGAGAAAAATAAAAGCACAAGCTACTAGTCATTGAAAGGTAACTTAAGGGATCAAGGAACATATACATATGTGTGTGTTTGTGTACATATGTGTATGTAGATAGAGAGGGTATTGATAATATAATGACTCTTTAACCACCAACCCTAAATTTGACTGCAAGTGGCGTTTTCTGGATCAACCACCCTAAGTTTTGACTTCTGTTAAAATCTCTCACAGACCCAATAAAACTGGAGTGACTGGTGGCTTCTTAATACCACAGAAATCTGTTTCCTTTTTTTCTCCAAATTCTCTTTAGTCTTGCAAGCATCTCTCGGGGCACAGTTAGATGTCACTCATGAGAATGAAGGTGGGCAATTATAGCACATGATTGGTGAAAAGAAGTCATAGACTATTTCCTCAACAGAATAATAGAAGGAAGATATAAATGCAGCACTTCAAAGAAAAGTCACCTAAGAAAGTGGTGTGTGGGGTGTGTGTCTTATATATCTTAATGTCACTTTTACAGGACAAGAGGAATTTGCCTACTAATTTGCCCCTGGGAAGAAGAAAGAACATTTAAGGAAACAGATGGCAAGCTGGGCGCCAGACCTGAGATTGGCTCTCTTGCTGGTGGGATGCTTTAGGGAACCGTCCCTCCTCCCTACACCACTCAACAGTTTTGCCTGTATGTAAATCACAGCCTGGTTAGGTTTGTGCACAACAGCCAGGCTTCACCTCAGTCCTCTACTTTAACGGGATGCAGGAAGGCAATGCATCATTTCTACTAAAGGGAGCCCTTGGCAACCTCTGCAAGAGGCCTGGTATTTATTCCCAGTCTGAGAATCAGCAGGCCTGCCTGAATGAGTCCCTGCTGCCTAGGACACTGTGGTGGTGAGAGCTCGCGTGTTAAATGGGCAGCAGTCTGCCCTTCCGCAGACATTCGATCATGCGATATCACAGAAAAGAAGGTGGTGCAAGGCAGCTTTGTGCAGCACGGGAGGTCATACTCCAAGACCCCTTGACTTTGTTTTTCTTTCTTTTTATTTGCCTTACAAACCTGAAACAAAACAGGAAATGTTAAGGAACTCGCACACAGTTGAACGATCAGGACTCCCACTAAATAGGTTTTTCCTTGCAGTGAAATGGCTTAATGACAATTCTTATTTAAAAAAAAAAAAAAAAAAAAGGTTGTTTTTTTTGCTTTTCAAAACTCTGTGAAAACAAATGTATTTCTATAGGTGCGAGAGCACCTATGGTTCACCACCAGGAAAAAGTTGCTTGGCTATGAGAACAGCATCATTCATCCTAGATCAAATGTGCACATTCCTGCAAAGTCTCTGCTGCTGCATGGAAACGCGCCTGAAGCGAAAATTGATAATATCACACACCGCCCTGTCGAGCACCAGAAGACATCAGGCAAAGCCTCTAGTGAGGTCCTCTGTTGCCTGGAAATGGGATTTTATACGTAATCTAACAGTCATCAACACATCACATTTGCCATCGAGGCAGCCACACTTACTCTGTAGATGACAGCTTGCCTAGAATGTCTGTGGCATTAGTCACCTCCAACTTACACTAAAACGGTCCTATGTTTTTCTCTAGGATTCACTCTCTTTACTGCCTGGAGTCTGACCAAGGAGCAGTTAGTTATTCCACTTTAGTGAGGACTATAATAGGAAAAAAGGTTATTTCAATTCAGTGAGTTGTCTTAAGCTTTTAATAAACACAGTCACTTCCTCTGGGAACATGTTTATCAAGTTTGAATCAATTTCATACGTATGTCGGATTTCAGTGTTTTTTTTTTTATCACGTGAAAGCCATTTATTCTCAGGCACTAAAGCAAAACCCTCAGATCCATAGTCTTCTTCTAGCAATGTGTTCCCTGCTGGGTCACCCGCCTTTGAGGTGAGCCAGGGGTCATCCACTGACACCTGCTGCAGTGTTTTCCTTCGGAACTGAAATTTTCTGCCAAGCTCTGGTTTTTGTTGCTTGATGAAGCTGCTCATTTCTAAACAAGTTAACAATATGCAGCATGTTTAAAAGTTTGACATGTTTAAAAAAAGTGTAAGGTTAAATAATTATAACTGAACGTTTTACTTGAGTGCTTCTATGAGCTTTGTAAAACAGACTCTGCAATGCTTCAAGTCATCAAGGTACTCTAGGGTAGTAACTCTGAATTTTCATTTTCTTCTTGGTTGCTCGTAATAACTTAATATTGTTTTACAAATCAACAAAGTAAATAGAAAGAGAGCAAAAGAAAAAAAGGAAGAAGGTAAATTTGTTCCCTTTTGCCACAAAGTCCTTTAGAGAACTATGGCTGGTGTGTTAGCCTTCAGTGCCAGCCACAGTGGGCTGAATGTCAGTGGGAGATTTGTGATTTTCCAATGCAGCAGTTTAAGGGTGCAGCATCATTCGAGAGGGTGTGATTGTAGCACACAAAGTTGTGTCATTCTGGATGGTAAGAAAATCAGATGTAAATGTCCTCAATGAAACAGAATTTGGACCATTGGACAGTGATACTCAGCTATCCCCATTAAACCAATGACTCCAGTTTCCTCCTGGCTCTGCACACACTGTCGCGTCCCTCCAAGCCTAGGTAAGCAGAAACAGAGAGCAGCAGTTCTATTCTCAACACAATAAACTAGAATTCTGCTTACACAGCATGGTTTGGGGCTGCGAAGCCATAAGCAGCTGCAAAGTGACATGAACACAGTCCACTCCAGACTAAGGCTGCTAAGAGCCCGTGGACCTTCCAAGGAAGAACAGATACTCAGACAATATTTTATTTTATTTTAATTATTTAATTGTCCAAAATCAAGCCACTGGATCTTTTAATTCCCCAAGTCTGTAATGTGGAAGTATTGTCACTGTGCTGTCACACTGTACCACTTATGAAAACAGAACTAAAGGAAGTGCAGGTGCTTCTGATGGCAACTGAGTGTGAGGAGAGAGGGAGAGCAAAGGCTGGAAGTTAAAGACATAGGACAAGTAGAACGGTGATTCTGACTTGAATGTACTGTTGTTCATGGTCCATGAAACACTGGAATGTGAAGGGTTTCAGAAGGATACCGACAGCTTATGGTTAGACAGAAGGTCTGGTCAATCTGGGCCTGTTACTAGGGAATTGTTCAGCAGAGAGGGCAGCTTGGAAGCTGACACTGATGCTGAGGCACAGGTGTGAGTGCTCGAGACTGCTGAGTCAAGAGCATGAGAGCAGCCATTGTACATGGCCGGCCAGTCCAGTCTTCAGGGCCACCACTGTTGGCTGCATTTTTGAAGGAAAGAGTCTGAAGGAAGAATCTGCTGGGACTCCCGGGTTGGTGCCTCCAAGAGCATGAGATCTGAATCATATCTGTTTTCTTTCTAGTACTCTTTCCTCTCTCCCCTTCTATACTCCTCCTTGTCTTTAGTCTTTTCTCTTCTAAGAAACTCCAAGTCTGAATTTTTATTAAAAATAATAGTAAATTCAGCCATAGGGGGTGGCTTAATTGGTAAAGTGTTTTTGCCCTCAGAGGCCAGGAGAATTTGATCCCCAGAACCCATGTAAAAGGGCAGAGTATGTAGCCCGAAGCTGGAAACAACCCAGATGCCCCTCAACTGAGGAATGGATACAGAAATTGTGGTACATCTATACAATGTAATATTACTCATCAATAAAAAACAAGGAAATCATGAAATTTGCAGGTAATTGGTGGGAACTGGAAAAGATCATTCTGAGTTAGCTATCCCAGAAGCAGAAAGACACACACGGTATATATATTAGACATATAATATAGGATAAACATACTAAAATCTGTACGCCAAAAGAAACTAATCAAGAAGGAGGACTGTGGCTAAGATGCTCAATCCCCATTCATAAAGGCAAAAAGGCTGGACATCAGAAGAAAGAGAAAACAGAGAATAAGTCAGGAGCCTGCTACAGAGGGCCTCTAAAAGGCTCTACCCTGCAGACTATCAAAGCAGATGCTGAGACTTATGGTTAACCTTTGGGCAGGGAATCTTTTGAAAGAGGTGGGAAATAGTAAGACCTGGAGAGAATAGGAGTTCCACAAGGAGAGCAACAGAACCAAAAAATCTGGCACAGGGGTGGGTCTTTTCTGAGACTGATACTCCAACCAAGAACCATGCATGGAGATAACCTAGAACCCCTGCACAGATGTAGTCCATGGCATGTCAGTGTCCAAGTGGGTTCCACAGTAATGGGAACAGGGACTCTCTCTGACATGAACTGATTGGCCTGCTCTTTGATCACCTCCCTCTGAGGGGGGAGCAGCCTTACCAGGCCACAGAGGAAGACACTGCAGCCACTCCTGATGAGATCTGATAGACTAGGATCAGAGGGAAGTGGAGGAGGACCTCCCCTATCAGTGGACTTGGGGAAGGGCATACGTGGAGAAGGGGAAAGGAGGGAGGGATTGGGAAGGGAGGAGGGAGGGAGCTACAGTGGGGATGCAAAGTGAATAAAGTATAATTAAGAAAATTTTTAAAAATAATCTATCATAA